TTTTTTTATTAGAATGTGCATTTAGATTTCACATAATGTAATGATAATGTTTCAAATCATGATGTATTGTGAATTAAATGTTAATACCAGGCTTTAATGCCGTTTCATTTTTGTGTATTGTTAGCAAGGGCAACACAATAGAAATTTGTTTTCAGTTAAGTTTTTGTGACCATTAAGATTGTTTTATATGATGTTTTTGATTTATTTATTTATTGACAATCCAAATAATATCTTCAGAGTCTGTGTAAATGGTAGATACACTGCTTCCAATAGAAAGTAGCTAAAGCCTGCTCAAAGTCGCTAAATAACAACATACACTGATTAGCATATTATTGACACTATTGCATCGTATTTGCATTCTGCCTAGTGTCAGCCTTTTATATTTGTTTGTCACACTTTATGTGAGCACGTATTGTATTTTAATACAGCATAATTCGCAGTATAATTGTTTATTTATATATTTTTCTGTTGTCAGACGACAGGATGAATACAAACTAGTGACTTGATTTGTTACTAGTCTCTAAATCTAGCAACAAAGTGGCTAAATTGGCAACACCGGATAATGTTAGCATCCAGTCACAATACTTGTGACCATCCAGCCGAACCCCACACAAACTTTCACTTGCAATTGAACTAAATCTTTTGTGTGTGTGTATGTAGGAGCACCATCTCCAGCGGGCCATCTCTGCTCAGCAGGTGTACGGGGAGAAGAGGGACAATATGGTGATTCCCGTCCCAGAGGCCGAGAGCAACATCGCCTACTATGAGTCCCTCTACCCGGGGGACTTCAGAATGCCCAAACAGCTCATTCACATACAGCGTGAGTCATTCTGCCTTTATCCAGACCATATATCTAATTCAGATTGAGGGCTTGAGGTTTGTGTGTCCTTCATGACTTTTACAATTGACTTTACTGAGCTGTGACAGGTATACAGATACATTTGAATGGCTGTTGATGGAGAAAGATGCTGTTTACAAGTCTAACCAGCAAAACCATGATCCATGATGATGGTTCAGACAAACAAATAGCCCCAAACTCATGTAATTGGAGTCAGTGTTGCGATGTCTGTCTGCTCAAACAAATTGCAATTCAATTTGGTGTTGCAATAGTCACAGAAATTGTTGCACCTATAATGACTGTATGGTTTGTAGCCTGCAGTGAAACTTGGTTTATCATGGTTTTGGTTCACATGAAAACAGTTCTGTTTTTCTTTTTTTGTGCCCTCCAAACTGGTCCTGCTACGTACAGCATTCAGTCTTGACACAGAACAGCCAGATTATGACCTGGACTCTGAGGACGAGACATTTGTAAATAAACTGAAGAAGAAGATGGATGTGGGAGCCCTGCAGTTTGAAGAGATGATCGACCGGCTGGAGAAAGGCAGCGGACAGCAGGTACCAGAGGCAGGCAGAATTGGGAATAGTCAGAAGATTTGGATTTTAATCATGGTTGAGCTTGTTTTTAATGGTTGTTATGGTACTGATCTGTACTCTTAAGGTGGATTTTAGAGATGCACCGATTGCAATTTTCTTGGCCAATTCCGATTTCTGATTTTTTATTTTTTTTTGTAAGTGTGACCTGCCGATACCGATTTTTGCCGATTCTGATTTTCTTTCTAAGAACTATAATTGACAGCATATACAAACAAAAATCTTTTTTTTTCAATGCAAAAAATTTATTTTAAATGATCTTTCACATTAAATTTCAATTAATTCCGTTAGAATAAGACACTGTGCAGTTGCTACTATTCAAATGAAATCAGTATCAACAAACTATCTTTCCACTGTAGAGGAAACAGAAGCTGCATCTGAAGTGGCGT